CCCCAAAACCCCAAAACCCCAAAACCCCAAAACCCCAAAACCCCAAAACCCCAAAACCCCAATTTCAGTAATAATTATTGGATTTTACCCTAGATAATAGAAAATTTCTCCAAAATGGCCAGAGTAAAGTCCTGTTCCGTTCTGGCTCTCACCTCAAGACTCTATTTTAAAAAGACCCATATGCTCATTTTCTACTTGTTCGTAGTTATAGCCATCCTCTCCATAGAAAGTTTCAACGTAGGAGTGAGAAGAGAGATTTTCTGCAATCCAGCAAACCATTTCTATTTTAGAGCCTGAGGCTGCATTATAGGCTCCTTTGAGCCTATGTCTATAATAATGCTCATCTTCCCAGCCAGTAGCTTCGACTTGTTCTTCTTCTACCACAGTTTCGTTGATCTTTATCTTATACTTCATCTCATAGCTTGGCTTCTGCTTTGCTGCATAGCAACTAAAGCCACATACTTTCACATTTTGTGTCGGTACAAACGTGATTGCGTCAGCGTAGTTTCCAGAGTTTGACCAACCATAACTAGTGTACACTCTTGGAAACCTACTGAACTTGTATGGTTTTCCAAATCCTTCAGATGCATAAATGGTATCTCCATTCTTTATTCCTTCAATCTTAGACAGATTAGAATCTTTATCAAGCTCTTTACTGTTGTAGAAGAGTTTATAACCCATTAGGGTTATACCTGCTCCATCGAAAGGACCTTCTAGAGCAGCCTCGAATTTGTCATAGATCTTGAGATCTACTTCTAGTGTCTCTGTATTGCCTGATTCGTGATTGACAGAAATAAAGATCATTAAAGAGTTTGTAAACTCTTCAAATTCAGATCCTTTAGTGACCTCTTTAGTTTCATTACTATCTCTGAGGGATACACTAGCCCATGTAGGCTTGTATTCTTCATCAGTCTTGAGGTCTAACACTTTGTACCACTTATCTTCCTTGGTGTTATACACAAGATTTCCCTTGTTGAAAACAGGAGCAGTCTTTTCCTTAAATGTCTTCAGAATATTAGCTTCAGTTATAACATTGAATCATTTTCTTTCTTTTGCTGATCTTTTGTCTTTTCCTTGATTGATGGGATCACATTTCAAAATGGAAGTTCTCCTTCGTCAAGAGAAGTTCTCCAATTTTTCTGGTGAGTAAATGAGTAAGGATTATTAGTTTTAGTATCTTCCTCTTTCTCCATAATTACAGATCTTTTAATTATCAATAGGATTTGAATAAAAAGGGGTTTTGGGGTTTTGGGGTTTTGGGGTTTTGGGG